AACCCCTGCAACAATTCGATCTCGTCCTCATCCGTCCACAAGCGTTGAAACAAGCGTCTCGAATCATCGAATTGCTGCGGCTTCTTCTCCACCACAGCGTCCCCGATCCGCTGTCGTTTCGGATCGGGTCCAGATTCGTCCAGGGGAACCGCGGCGACTGTCACGGCCGATGCGACAGGGACGGCGAGAGCAACAGCAGGGATAGTGGATACCGGCGTAGCAGTCACGGCGGTGGTCATCGTCGGAATCTGCGACGATGTGGAGGGGGAATTGATGTCTTCTTCCCCTAACTCCTCGTCTTCCTCATCGTTTTCGTCGAGGTCGTTGTCGGAAGAGGACGGCTCCTCGTCGTCGTCAAGGTCATCGTCGGGGAAAACCGTGTTGTCGTTCTCGGAGGCCATGAATCAGGGAGAGAGACAGAGGATGAATCAGTTGGATCGTTAGGGATTCAGGAGGAAGAGGATAGGATCCGTTGAATTTGCGTGTCAAAGATGGAGTTTAGGTAAACGAAGGGTAATTTCGGGATGTCAGGGTACGAGTCTTCTCTGCGCTAGGGAAAATTGCCTGATTGGATGTTGAGACGTGCAGTGTATGTGCGCCCCCTCCCTCCCCTTTTCTATTTTTTAAGTACGAATTGTATTTTTTTTATTTAAATATTAAAATTACATAAATATCATAATAAAATTACTTTTAATTATTTATCAAAAAAATTATTTTATAATTAAAATTGTCTCAAATTATAAAATAATAATTCTTAAATAAAAAATAAAGCCTCTAATATCGGGTCCCTTTCTTTATTTAAAAATTTTTATTTAATAATCTCAATTAATTTAAATTATAAAACAATAAAACTTATTTCTTAATGATATTTTGCTAATTTTTTTTTTAAACAAGTTGTCAAAGGACGGTTTTCATAAGAAAGGAAAAATGCATTTCAAGTTGGTAAGTTGTCAGTTGATTCGAAAGGTAAGTACGATATTTTGATAATTTTAATGCACAAACTACATAAAAAAAATATAACCTATTCTAAAAACACCTAAATTTTTTTTTCTTCTTTTTTTGTTCTGGGTTTTGTTGGCGAAGTGTAGTGTAAAAGCTAAAAATTATTCACACAAAAGAGATAATTGGTACTGAAAAGAATACAAACTTTCACACCTGTACTAAATAAGGGTAACAGCCTTTTTGCTTACTAAACACGGTCATACACTTTGAAAAGTTACTATTTGAGTGTACAAATTTTTCAAAAGTTACTATTCAAGGATATTTGGACATGTCAATGTAGACATTCACTACTAGGACATAGTATTGATGGAGACTTTATTGTTTTTTATTGCATTTGATCTTCTGTTAAATTATTTTGTATTACCAACATTATGAGAATTGAATTCCTTCATATGTGTTAGTTCTTATTTTGTTTAATGTAATATGCTTTTTACCAAAAAAAAAAAAAAAAACATAGACATTCACTTAATCATTTTGTAATAAAATTCCATTGCTTGTATTCTTAGACAAAAATAATATAATTACAATACTATGTGGTATTGTAAGCTTAAAACATAATGTTTTGTTATATAATTAGTTATTTTTACTTAAAAATTCACTTGTGATATTATATGCATTTACTTATTTAACAATATATTATAATTGTAAATTTACAATTTTAGATGGTTTTGTAACTATAGCATTGTAGATTCTTTGATAGTAACTTTTGAAAGTTTGTGGCCTTATTTAATAAAAGAAAAAGTTATTATCCTTGTTTAGTAAAGTTGTGAAAGTCTATATCCTTTTTTTGTGTCATTTCTCTCACAAAAGACGTTGTAGGGTGTGCAAGCTTGGGATTGCAGCTGAGAATTTTTTTATATAACTACACAATACTTTTAAATATATGTGTATTTGATAATTTGTTTTCAAATTACTTTTTCTAAAAATTACATAAACCTATAGTAGATTATAGTAATTTTATATATAAAGTCAGAAGCTTTATTGTGGAGCTTTATGGCTGTAATTTTTACAGAGAACACTTAATATTTAATATAATTATAAAATTATCCATTAAAACATAATTTTGTATAATTTAATTATATTCTAATTTATAATATTCTAATAATGATAATAAATTTAAAAAACTTAAATTATTAAAAAATAGTAAATATTAACTATTTTAATAATTATATATCTTACAATATTTTTAAAATTTTAACTAATAATTAATAAAATCTATCATATTTGATCTATAATACTTTTAAGAAATAAATAACCAAATAGTATAATAACTTTCAGTCACAGTTTAGTACAGCACAATTTAACACAACTACAGCTACTATTATAGTCATAACACTTCATAGTAATCACAAATGCACTTGTAGTTTGGAAATACGCATGGCTAAACCATCAATCTTTTTGGACATTTGCAATTAAGCACTCAAAGAAGTGCTTGAATTACTTAGCCCCATGAACCTTACAATTTCAAAATTGATGGAAAAAAATTTAGGAAAAAAATCTACTGGTTCAAATTTTTTTTTTTTCCATGAGAACTCAGAAGATACTACACATCATTAGGAGATAAAATATATAGCATTAATTGTAGAATATTTTGCTTATGCTAAATCTAGATAATTAAGTAAAGAAAGTTAACTACTAATAGAGATTACAAAAGAAATGGTTATAAGGACAAATATAGAGCTAGAAAAGTTAAGAGATTATATTGATGAGCAACCAAAACTACTAAGTAATATCAATTGAACTTCCAACTTTTGCTTCTTAGGGAGGAAGATTAGTTAGGGACCCTACCTCTGACCATGTTGTCAATAGCTTGCAACGGAAACAAGCCAGCTTCACATCCATGTTGTTTTTCATCTTTACAATATGGCAAACTTGATAAAATATATCAAGGGAGTCTAGGAAGAGAACCCCAAAAGAGGGGGACAAACCTCTTTTTGAGAGAGAGAACCCTCAAAAATAGGGGGATATTCCTACCTTTATTCATCCTTCCTAGGTATCGATCGGGAGAGAGAAGAAACAAAAGACAAGGGAGAGGATGAAAGTGAGAGAGAGAGAGAGAGAGGCCTTTACTTCCTTAATTTTTATTTAGTTGTCTCACTTATTAGATTGGTTAGGATGTTTTGATTTAGTTATCTCACTTTCTAATTTTAGAATATGTCAATAAAAGAGAAGGATTTTATTAATGGTAATATTATAATTATAATACCACATAAGATTGTAACCTTATAATTATGTTGTAATATTAAACGAGTGGATACATACAATATTATGGGTAGACTCCTGAATGATAAGAGCAAATTATATAAAGATTCATCATATTATAAGTTTACAATATTATGTGGTATTGTAATTATAATATTATTGTTTTATTAAGGATAAATTTGGTATCCCAATCCCTAATCATTGGGTTTTTAAGCTCTATTTAAAATGGTTGCAGTTTTTAATATTTTTCCTTTTGTGTTTTAGTCTTTATAAATTTTGTAGCTCTAACAAAACCTTGTTTAATTTTATGTTTACATATTTGTTTAAAAAGTTATTATGATTATTTAAAAAATAGAAACAAAAATAGTTTTAATATTGAGAAAACAAAAAAAAAAAGACATACTAATATTAAAAATTTTAGGATATCTAATGACAATCATTAAATATATGAGGCATAGCGTGTGCCCTAACTTTATCAAATTCATTCTATGGCTACTAGGACGTCTTGATTTTCCATTTTCCCTTTTGATATTATTGAACATGTTTATAGTTTTGGTTGTCAATGTTGAAACTTATTTTAAACAAGTTATCAAGTTTTCATTTATAGTTTTTAGTTTTTCAACTGTTGCAAAATTTTTTTAAATTAAAATAAAAAACCACAATTATACTACACAGAGTCATAATTTTCCCTTAAAGCTGCCTTTGTAATTGTAAAACTTCAAAGTAGGCCAAATAAAAAAACAAAGGAGAAAATTTCTAGTTAACATTGAACATGTTTGGTTAAATAATTAGAAATCTCATAGTAAATAGTTGAAAGTTGATATTTATAATTCAAATACGCTTATTTTTGTACAACAAGAGCTTATTCATATTTATCGTTATCTATGATTGAACACTTTATTAATCATACTAGAAAAACCTAATTACTAATTATTATCCATTCTTTAATGGTTAAACTATAACCATCAATTATTATTAATTCTTTAACGGTTAAACTTAATAAGGCCGTATAGAGCCATTTTGGGTCGCCCCTTATCAAGAAGGGTACCAGCTAATTAATGAATACGCTAGAGAAAAATAAACAAGCGTACAAGGAGGCTTGATAGGTCACCTGCACAAGTCTTGTTTACAACCTACTGCTCTTGACTTGTCTTTCTGTTTAAATAATGCATGATGTTTGAACTGCTTTTGTGCTTTAACATTGACAAAATTGCTTCTCTGTAAAGTCACTGATTCATGATATTAATGAGATTGCACTGCTTTATTAAACAGCAAAGATCTCCTTATCGTTTGACCACAATGATAGTGTTTTTTTCTTTTTCCTTTTCCCAATTGATAACAATGCAAACATGACTGTATCAAAGAAGGTAAGGTAAACATGAGAGGTAAACTATGTTAAATTTGTGATTGAAGATACAATCAATATAAGGTAAACTTTTCTTTTGTCTTCTCAAAAACTTGTTCTGCAATGACAGCCCCCGTGCCATCGGCTTTCTTGATCTCCAGCTGAGCCTTTTGATAGAATCCAGTACCTCTTAATGCATCCGCAATGAAATCATCAAATCCAATTGCTATGGCTGCTTCAGCTTCGGCTCCATAAACCAATCTCTGCTTCAGAAATACTTAATCAGAGAAACACAGCTTTAAAAATATCGAGATGGCAAAAATGAAATAGGAGGATTTGGTGTTACCTTGATTCTCGAGAGATGGATGGCACCAAAGCACATTGGGCAAGGTTCACAGGAGGCATATATTTCACAATCTGAGAGCTCAATTTGATTGAGCTTCTTGCATGCCTGAAATGGATATACACTCCAACAGATTAATAAACCAATTAAAACCTTGGAAAATTCATTTAAATTGCACGTACATAAGGGTTATAGGCACCCAGCCAAAACCATACAGGTAAGTTACGTGCAATTTCCCTTATAATTTATTACAAATCTTTTGTTAACAATAACAATTTTCAGCTACACAATAAAATTTTTAGCAGATCTTCCAGCTGAGCAAGTGTTAAGTGATAATTATAAAAGCACAACAAAATAGAGCAATGCATTTGCCTTAAATGAAACAAAATCATGTACTGCAGCTAAACAGATTCATGTGTCAATTTCTATCAGCTCTGCCTAAAGGGTTTCAAGGAAAATTTATCATAAAGACAGAATTTATAAATCTCACATAGATTTCATACAAATAAGGATATAACCTTTTAAAATTTTTCTAGTTAAGAATATGAATTTTTTTCTAGACTAAAACAAGGTTACCACCTTTCAAAAATTTCTAATCAAGGATATACCATGTCCATCCATTTCATCATTCTTTGGTAAAATCATAAACATATCCCTGATTAGAAACTTTTGAAAGGTAGTAGCCTTGATTGGTAAAGAAAAAAAGGTCACATCTTTAATTTAAAAAGTTTTGAAAAGTTATGTCCTTATTTGTATGAAATCTCAAATTCCACAAGTTTGTTGCCATGTCAAGCCTTTGAAACTTTATCACTGGATTAGTCCCAATCACAATTGATAAAGTGTGTGTGATGGAGGGGGTGGGGGTTGGGGACCTTGGGGGGGGTGGGGGGTTAACACAGAGCAAAGTGAGAGCAGGAAGTTTGACTAAATTAATATCAAGAAGCATCTTCTATTCAAGAAACTTTTAGCAATTGACCTTCCCATGCTTTTATCTAGGCAGACAAATCAAAAGAAACCATTTGATAATTTCTTAGTCTGACCTCTCTTATAGCAGTAACCTCTGCATGTGCGGTAGGGTCAGTGTTTCTCAAAACCATATTGTGGGAGCTTACAACAACTTCATCATTGCAAACTACAACAGCACCAAATGGACCACCGTCCCCACAGTCAACCCCTTTATATGCTTCCTCAACTGCTCTTGTTAAGAATTTGTGGTCTCTATCCTGTACAACTGATCAAACCATACCAAAACACTAACAATTTTAACTACCAACAAAACACCACAAATGATGATTTTACAATTCATAACCCTAAGAAAGGAGGAGAACTTAATGAGGTAAATAATTGATGTACATATACATATCAGTATGCTCTGTAGAGTGGGATAAGAAGACATGTTTGTAAATGTAAGATGGAGGATATTGTAGCTAGAGTCTTTATTGTGGTGCTAAATGTCTGAGATGGAACAACATGCTGAATTGCTGATACAGTCCAGGATCAAATTTGATGACCATAACTCAGTTAAACTAAGAAAATGTAGCAACCAAAATATTTGACTGCCAGTCTGCCACTTGATGTCACATGTACTTCTTACATGAAATCCCTCAAAAAATAAGATATTTGCAAGAAAAAACCACGAGTTAAAGAAGTTACCTTCTTGATGACCAGCAAAGGCAGAGGCAACAGAGATGGTTCCATCCTTGGCTTCAACCACTACAAACAAAAGGACCGGAAATGAGGCATAATAGTGTTGTTGACCATAGATCAACTGAAATTAATATACCATGTGTGAAGACAAGCTTAGAACAACTTATACTATCATCAAGAAGCATATCATAAGTCTAAAACATATAATAAAACACATACCAAGACAAGAACAAGTGCTAAACTTATCAAAAAAATCCCAATACTCCAATTCCATGCTTCCAATTTAGAACTGTTTCATTTGAATTACATAGACAATAACCTTTATAATTTTTAGAAATTAAGAAGGAATTAGGATACCGAGTCTGGAAATTAAACAAAAGCACATAACTGAGTAATTCCAGATCCACCCACAACCAAATTTCTGAAAACAGTACAAAGAAAACCAAACCCCATTTGAGATCTCCAACGAAAAATGATGCTAACCATGAACACAGATTACAATTCCCAACAAAAATCCTAACACAATTGGCTACAAAACCAGAAACAAATAAAGTGATAGATCCAGAAACAAAATGTAAAGACTAAAGATCAAAGCTTTGTTACAAAAATATTCCCAAAAAATCGGGGAAGCAGAAACAGCAGCATCAGAAACCGGGATTTCAGGGATCATACCTTTAGCTTCCTCCATCTCCATGATTAGCACAAGGAAAACAAAATAAGAGGAATTTTAAGAAAATGGGTTGGAGGATAATGGAAAGGGAGGAGCGGAATGGATCTAGAAAAACTTGTCCACGTATTAAATTATAATATACTTCTGGACGAGAGAAAAAGAGGGCAAAAGCACATGTAAAGGGAAGGACAGAAGGGAATCTTTATGGGATGATTCATTTCTTTGTCTTCTTCTCTAGCCTTTTCCCTTCCAAAGAGCCGTGTTGAACAGTGAAAATGTGATTTGTCATTTGTAAATTGTGAACAATGTGAAAGTGTCATGCATATACCAGACGCCAGAAGGATGAGTAGCGCTCTTATGGTAAAATATGTATTTAGTCTTTTATATTATTAATTTTAAAGTTTTTAATTTTTTATTTTATTTTATAAAAATTTTAATTTTAAATTTTTTTAAAAAAATTTAACTCATAAACTAATAAAATTTGTTAATTTTTAGTTAGAGTAAGAACACAATATTTACAAAAATTAATCTTTAAAAATTAAAAAGTAATAATTTAATTTTTAAAAATTAAAATTAAAAAAATGAGTAAATTAATAATATTTAGTGAATAATTTTATCATATATACAAGAATAGTATTATATATTTTCAATTAAATTAAGCGATTAACTCAATCTAAAATAAGAAGTCTAATTAAGATTAAAAAAAAATTTCTTAATTGTATTTTTTTAGTCTATTAAACTTTTTATCTTAATTTAACCAAGAAATTTTTTTTTGATTTCAGTCAAAATTCTTTCTTTAAATTGAATTATTCACTCTATTTGATTATGGATATATAATATTATTCTAGTGTAACGTTATCAATTAATTTTTTT